CCCCCCTGGGCTCCCCTCCCCCACCTCCAGCCGCTGGTGGCCTGCAGCCAACACTGGCCACACTGTCCGCATTCAGGCCTCCCCGCCCTCCTGGCCCGCTGTCTCTTCCCCAGCCTCCCCAACGCCACGCGCTCTCGCCATCTCTGCACCCCCACCCCCATCTGAACCGAGCTGACCTCTTCCGCCCTGGCACCCGCACAGACTCAGGCCCCCCTGTTCCAGAAGCAGACAGGGCTTTGGAGACCCGGGCAGCCCGGCGCCCACCAGGCCCCAGCCTCCCCGGCCTGCCGCCCCTGGCCCTGCACGGCCACCCCAGCCAAGAGGAACATCGCTGCGTCTGCAGAAAGCAGCCCGAGGCCCAGGCCACTGCATTCCGGGGTGGGGGTTTCCTGGCCTGCAAGCCATACCCCCAGAGTTCGTCCCACTCCCCTCACTCCCTTGGGTCCCTTAACCCCTTCCACCCCACAACACCAAAACCCTTGGCCCTGCCTCCACAGGGGGATGGGTGTTAAGTCCCAGCCCTCTCTGCTCACCAAGGAAGTGGGGGTGGCAGCCCTTGCTCGCCTGGCCTCCCCCCATCCATCATGCAGGAAGCCCCCCACCCTCCACATTCAAGTTCACTGTGCCTCCTGTCAGAGCCTCTGGTCTGGTTTCCAGGGAGCGAGCCTGACAGAGAAAGAGCCCCGGAGGCTTCCTAGATGGGGCGGGGCTTGCCCTACTAGCCCTGGATGTGGAGAGGTGGGGGTCTGGGGACCAGCCTGACCGGCCCTGCCCTACTAACAGGGACTATTAGAAAGGCGTGTCCTAGCAGCCTGTGGGGCTGGAGCTGCATCCCAGGGGGTGGGGGGCAAAGGTCAGCTGCTGTCCAGAGGGTGCAGTGCTGAGGGGGGGTCTAGCCTCACCCTGCCTCTGCCTCTGCACCACTGCAGTTCCCTCCTCTACCACCCAGATCACAGGGTTTGCCAGTGCTGTGGCACTGGCAGCTGGAAAGCCATGGGGGCTGGACGGCTCTGCACTCCGCCACCCCAGGAATCTCAGTTCCGGTCAAGCAACTCTGAAATTTGGGGAGTGGGGTCACCCCTCCTGTGCGGGCATGCTGATCTAGAAACCAGGGGCTCTGCTGCCGGTGCAGTTTCAGCAGCCCGACTGGTTTCCTCTCTGAGCCTAAGGCGGAAGTGGGGTGGAGGGGTCCCTCCGAGGGTCCCTCTGCACTAATCTCAAACAAAAATGCACCTTCAACATCTCCATTTAATATTTACATTCAAGCAGGTAATAAGTGGAAGCTTAGAGTTCAGACAGTTCTAGTAGCAGCAGTTTCTAGAGCTTTCGCCTTTTAACAAACTTTTTTTTTTTGCACATAGAAACAACACACCCATGTGTACAGTATCAAAAAATATATACCAAGGTTACTGGTATTGCGGTTCCTGGAACGGGAGGAGGGGAGGAAATGAAATAACCGAAATACTGAATGACAGGGAAGAAAGGTCAACAGAAAATAGTTTGTCTGATATAGAATATAACATGATCTAGAGGAAACTCCATAAATCTAGGTTTTATATTTCAATATATAAATACCTACAAATAAATATATATATAGCAGCCCGAAGGGGTGGTCGGGCCTTCTGAGCTCAAACAATACATTTCAATAATAACACCACGTACAAACGGGGGCGGAGTCAGCACTGACAAGTTAGCACGGTTAAAATATAATACTATGACTGAGACCGCCGCGAGGCTGCCCTGTCCGTTCCAGAGGTCCACGTGGGAGCAGAGGGGCGGCTCTCCTCTCGCGTGGAGAAGGGGCGGGTGGGGGCCAGACACACAGGCACCACGTGGAAAGGGCCGGGGTGGGGCGGGGCGGTGCCTTCGCCAGGATCCGACCTCCCACCCGCCGCCCCGGGGGCAGCAGGAGCTCCCGAAGTAGGGGAGAGGGGCGATGGCTCTTCCCCTTCCGGCGCCCTCGGGCTACACCGTCACGTACTCCTTAAACGTGACAGTGAGGCAGTTCGCAGTGACGTCGGTGATAATTATATTCCCAAAGAAGGGCTTGAACTCGCTCAGCGGCTCCGCGGGCTCGTCCTGGGCCTCGGCCGGAGGCTTCTCCGCCGCCGTGGCCTGCGCTGC